TTGGATGTAATAATGAACATAGCAGTCGTCATTTACTCCCGACATCTGAGCCGCTGAACTCGCAGTGGATTACGTTTGTTTCTGAAGGGAATGCGCCCCCGATCTACATAAATGCATCTATGTTCGCGTGAATCATTCATGATCCAGCTATTCATCTACAGAAGGAGTATAATGTTTTGCAATGAATCTTTAAAAATCACCTTTCCTAATTAGCAAGTTTCAGGATGAATGCGGCTAAAGTAAACAGTCTCTCTGAGAGCAGCTCAGAAGAGAGGGGTGGGGTCAGCAGAGCTCATTAACATTTAAAGGAAAATGCTACAAAAACGTCTTGATATGAAAAGAGGTTTTTGACAGGGTAAAAAAGGTGTTTTTTTACACTACCATTGAGAAATTTTAACCAAACTATGTTACAGACTTTTCATTAACACCCTAAAGAATCATATCAACTTGTGGAAAATGGGCATCCTATGACCCCCTTTAATGATTTTGTATAAACATGCTCAGTATATTTGTATTATGAAACAAAAGACTAGGGTACAAAAATAAAAAATAAGCTGTTTTTAATTGTGAAGAATCAAAACTAAAAGCATTTCAGTGTCATGTTCGTCACAGAGGAATGCGCTGCAAAGATGTCACATGTCTGTGTCCACTCAATAACTATTTAATAGATCCAAGTCCTCTGCAGACAGAGCTGACAGAGACTGGCGCTTTGACAGAGGAGCTGAACTTTGGTCTTCCTCTGTTGATAGTCTTCTCTTCTTGCCCTTCTGAACAGCTGCCACTGTTGATGAAAGTGTGTCGTGTTCTGCTGTTGAACTCGTGCCACAGAGATCAACCTTATAAAAGTGAATCGGCACAACTTTGTCTTTCTTTGTGGTGTCACTCGTCCCAGAGCAGGAGTTTAATGTCTCTCGGACAAACTTTTCTCTTCCATCTAAAGTCAAAATTCAGAATATTATAACAATTACAACAATAACAAAAATTTGTAGTAATAATATATTTTGTGATCAAGTGAACATGTAGATAAAATGAATAAACTCACAGAAACGGAGAGCATTTGTTCTTGGTTTGTAGTCTTTCTTTGGTACTTCAGAAGCTGTAATTTCCCATTGGTTTATTACCTGATTAAAATTTGAATAGTGAGAGAATGTTATACAGAGATGCCTCATTATAAAACATTTACAACATCAACATTGCATTCATAATGACGTATATCCATCATGGATACCATAAAAGCTTCTCTGTTACCTGTTCAGCCCAGCCATCTGTTTTACAATCAGAGTGTTCAAATTCCTTCAAAGGTGTTTCTGATAAGAACATTCTCATATTCTTTCTGAAGAATCCTTTCAAAGACACATTCACCTAAAAGAGATTTCTAATATTATACAAGACCTCCATAAAAACGTACTCATTGATGTTAACTTTTTAATTGTGCTACCGTCACATTTGTCCCAGATATGTCCAGTTTCTGTAGCGTTTTAAAGCATGTTAGATATCCAAGACCTTTCTCAGTAATGGGATTCTCTGTTAAGAAATAAATGAAATGGCAAGAGTATACATTACCATAAAAATCACATTCATCATGGTTATGTATAAAAAGCAATTGAGAGTATTTATGTAATGAGATTCAAACTGTTTTTCTATGCTCACCAAGTCTGCATTTATTAAAATACAGTAAAAGTAATATTATAAAATATTATTACAATTTACAATAACTGTCTTCCATTTGAATATATTTTAAAATAAAATGTATTTCTGTGATGGTAAAGCTGAATTTTCAGCAGTCATTACTCCAGGTCTCAGTGATGATCCTTCAGAAATCATTATAATATGCTGATTTGCTGCTCAAGAAACATTTCTTATTATTATCAATGTTAAAAACAGTTGTGCTGCTTTATATTGTAGGGAAACCCGTATTTTTTTTTCAGGATTCTCTGATTGGTCTCTTCTCTTTGTGTGGCTCGCGGATGGTAAAGTGTCGATGCAGAGTTGAAAGGAGAAGTCTCTGGAGAAGAGTCTGTGCTGCGGAGCATCATTCCTGTCTGCATTGACATACCGCCGCAGTTCTCCTTTCTCTCTGACATACACAGCTCCACAGCCCTCACTAACATACATCCTTACAGCTCTCTACACAAACCGAGCGTTTAGCGTCCAAAATATTCGGTTGTCGTTTGAAAATCAAGGGTATATTGACGGAAACATCGAGAAGTTTGTAAAATGTAGAAAGATTTAAAAACGACGGGCTCTTGGAGTAAAGTCCCTCCTGTAAATCGAGTTTCACGCTCATTACAAAATAAAAGTCGTTACTGAACTCTGCACTAAAATGTATTTAAACGCCCGTATACTTCGCAGATAACTTAAAAACTTTTACCTATGCTATAACTCTGATGTATTTTACTCCCCTCCCCCATATTTTTATTTCACCATATTGGTTACTTTCATTGTTTTTTCTTTTCTTTTCATTTTTTAAATTGGTCTCCACGTTTTTATTATTTCATTCTAATATTTTATTTATTTACTTACTTACTGCCTAATTTTACCACAAGTTGCAAAACACCAGGTGAAAAATAATTTGAAGATTTGATTTATGGACAAGTAAAGACTTTTATTCTGCTACGCATCACTATCACTGCTCATTTCCGCGTTTCCATTTTCGCACCTTCAAAACAAAGTTTAAAATCCTGAAACATTCAAAACGCTTTTACTGGTGAGTTGATTAACATGACGAAAACATTAGAGGTCCTATTTTGCTATAAAAAGGCGATGTAAAATCATCTGAGAGAATGCATATACTTAAAACAACAATTTGTTACGTTGTAACTGCATTTTTCTGTTTGATGTATAATATCCGCATACGTCTGAATGTAAACAGGTTGTATACAGTGTCACTCCTGCTATACATGTGATTAGACACTTCAGATACAGTGGTAGGTCAGCCATGGTTGGTAAAACTTAATGCTTAAAAGGATAGTTCACCCTAAAACTAAACTTTAGTCATCACTTAACTTCCGTGGAACTTAAAAGAAAATGTTAGGAAGATCGACAGCTTCAGTCATTCTTCACATTCATTGAATGGGAAGAAGATACAGTGAATCTGAATGGTGACTGAATCTGTCAGTCCCTCACATTCTGCCTAATGTATCTTTCTGTGTTCCGATTTTTGGAACAACATGAGAGTATTGATTTTAATTTTGGGTGAAATATACCTTTAACAATCTACAATATCAATAGCATTAACTAAAGCTTGTCTGCTTATCTGTCTTCTATTGATGCCATCATTCACAGAGCACATAGATCTGTGATGGCCAATACTGATTTTCATTTGCAGTTTCAAGGTGAGTCCCTTAAAATACTTATTTGAAAGGCAAACAGATTCCTTTTAATAATAAAAAATATCATGGAATCTGCTTATTGCTCTTGGAAAAAAAAAATTCTATATTGTGCTAGAATTTGAAGATGAGCAAGGATTCACAGAAAATAATCAAGGAGCCACAACAGTGACCATCGATGACCCCATCAAATCTAGAAAACAACGAAAAGCTACTGGAACTGCTTTTGAAGAAGAGGACAACGATGACAAAACTGAGGTCCGTGGGACACACTCTCTAGATAATCGGAGATCTTTATTTCTTCAAAAAGAGCACTGATTCAAAATACATGTTTCTTTGTCAAACAGCTTCTGTCAGGTCAAAGAAAAAGTGCACCCTTCTGGACGTTTGAGTATTACCAAACATTATTTGATGTGGACAGTCATCAGGTCAGCCATCTTTACTGTAGGATTCAGCCCTCACACTACAGTGATTATCATTTCAAAGAGTTAAAAAGCATTCATTGTGTATTTCAGAAATATATACTTTTAAGGGTTTTCTAATTCATTTTAAATAAAAAATATATAAATTGCCGCTGTTTTCATATATAGGTAAAGAACAGAATAATTGGGTCAATTCTGCCTTGGCCTGGGAAAAACTTTGTTGAGGTCTATTTACGGAGTAACCCAGACCTGTATGGTAAGCTAAATTAAACTAAAATTGTTTAGAGCAAAAAGAAAGATGTTTATAAAAAGTTAATATGAGTATGTGGTTTACTTTTGTAGGACCTTTCTGGATCTGTGCAACTCTTGTTTTTGCCATCGCTGTTAGTGGAAACATCTCCAGTTTTCTTGTCAACCAGGGTCAGCCAAAGTTCAGATATGTGCCAGACTTCAGCAAAGGTTAGAGATACGTTGTTTGAAATAGCCTAAACAAAATAGACCCTCTGGCCTCACCCTAAAAATGACACTGGTTCTTTTGCTTGTTTTCCAGTAACTATGGCAGCCACAGCAATCTACAGTTACGCATGGTTAGTGCCTTTAGCTCTGTGGGGTTTTCTCACCTGGCGAAATAGGAAGATCACAAGCCTGGTGTCCTACTCCTTCTTGCAGATAGTGTGTGTCTATGGTTACTCGCTCTCCATCTACATCCCTGCTGTGGTGAGTCATACAGTCACAATATATACATGAATATAATGTGCATTATTCTGTGCATAATTACCGCATCTGGGTGTGATAAACACATTTGATAGATGATTTTCAAGCATTCTCTATTATTATTTTGCAGATACAGTTTATTTACTTGCTTGTGTGCATTTGTGTGAAAAACAGATATTGTGGATAATACCAAGTGAAGGGTTGAGGTGGTGCTCCATCGTGGTAGCTTTGTGTCTCTCAGGATCTGTGCTGGTAATGACGTTCTGGCCAGCCATCAGGGACGATAAACCAAGGATTACCATTGCGATTATATCCACCATCGTGATTCTTCACGTCCTGCTTGCAGTTGGTTGCAAGGTATGTTTTTAAGAATCTTTATACATTAGGAATGAATGTGATTAACATTATCTATTATGAACAAAATACACAAAACATATTCAGGATGCACAATATATTGGTCTATATTTGTTACTGAGTGAATTCATCAATATCAGTCCATATTTGATATATCAGTATTGGATATTTAATTGTGCATGCTTATTTTTCCTTATATTTACATTTAAATTAGCTTTGCTGGAACCTAATGCACACTTAAAAATTATTATTTTTTTTAACTAACAATATAAAACACTGTTAAATGTTAAGATCTTTATCAAATCTCAAAATGAATATCGATTTTTTTTTATACTGTACATTATAATTTTATGCTTAGATTGACTGGTAGCATTTAAAATGATTGATTTTAGTTTGTAGTATTTTATATTACAAACTAATTTATTATAGTATAAAATTTAAACATAATTATTTCTGGCTTATCTGTATTGTAATATCATTGCATCCTAATATGTATGCATATAATTATGCACTTACTAAAACAATACAAGCAAAACATATTAGATGAAACTTTGTCTAAAATAATTTTTTTTGCCTCTGTTGCAAAAATGCTAGAGACGATATAACTAAAGTTGTGTAGCTGTACTAGCAACTCGATGTCAGCATTTTAGCACTGCTTCTTGCAGCGTTAAAGGATCAAACAGGTTGGTGTCAAATGTGTTTCCCCAGTGGAAGGGTGTGTTCTTGGAAACACCAGCAATAGTCAATGACTGGCTTGGAAACATGCCAGTTTGTGAGCAGAACCATGTCCTTATGGCTATCATGTGCCGTCAATTACATTCATTTAATTAGGGATAGGGAATGCAGTGTTTAGGGGACAAAAGTGCTGTCAGAGTCTGAAAGATTTGTGCCCTCTCTCGTTTTTCAGGTATGTTTCTTCAGTACATATGAGATGGATCCATCAAAGGATCACAATGAGCCATCGACAGCGACCAACACTTCATCATCCACAAAGCCAAAGTGAATTACAGCCTTGAGTAAATACAGGACTTCAGTGAGGTGGCAGTGGCACTCTCTCATGTGCTTTTTAATAATGATGAAATGGCATAGAAATGCCAGCACTTTAAGACTTTTAGATGAGCCGAGTGTCATTTAATTGTAGCTGCTGATGGGAAAATAAGACATTTGCATTTGATGAGGCGTTAACATGAGACAGGACTTCCTGTACATAATCTGTTCTCCTCGAGAGACTGTTATTCTTCTGTAATTGCAGCTTCTCCTCTTGCCTTATTAGAGAGATTGTGGGTTTTCTGGATTTCTTCGTCTTATAGTCTGTGAAGGTAAAGCCTTCATTTTGGTATGTTTATGTTTGTAGGTGAGCAGCGAAACCTGGAGATAATCATCTACAACATGTTTGATGTTTTCTGATTTGAGGTTCAGACACATGTTACTGTTACAAAGTAGAGGACATGTGTATATACTGTGTAGCTGTGGTTTAAATATTTATGTGATAATTGAGCTTGAGATGGTTTTCAAAGGGTCACTCTCCTGTTTCTACCACTTTGGAACGTGTATATGTGCTTAAAATATTTTAACACTTTATAAAACTACAGGTCCAGCAGAAAAAGGGTATAATACGTTGAATTATATAATATAAGTTGAATTGCACATAAACAGAAACTGATTACATATTTGCATATTAATAAAGTTGAAAATCAAAGCTACAGTTTATTTAAATATTTTACAAATTTTCAGTTCTCTGTGGTGGCCATTGATTTCTTTTTTTTTTGCTATTATTTTTACTCTGTATATTTTTGTGAGATTTGTAACTAGATCTATGCCTTTTCTTTAAACAAGATAGTAGCCTAGAACATAAAATGCCTGAACAATTAACTGTATTCCAAGACGTCACATTGTAATAAATATTTAGCAGCTTTTTTCCCCTTTTAAAATTACATGCACACAAATACAGACCAAAATGTCTGTTTACCATTTATAATGTCTCAATTATTGATGATGATACTGATAACCGAGTGGTTTAGAAGCAGATCATAGAATTTCACTCTCAGCATCAAGATTCACAAACAAAGGTTATTGTCATAGATCAAATCTATCTTGTCTTTGATGCCAGTATCTGATACAGTGCAAAGTTTCGTATATCTCCGAGCACCATCAGCAGTGCACTTTTAGCCTTTATTCACCAGTCATTAGATTAATTAGATAAATTATTATAATTTTTTTTTAAGTTGGCACTGGCGTTATGAAATGGCTCAGCTACATTTTCCAAATTAACAAAATAGAAAATTTGTGTCACTTGAAACTGTGCCAATGTGTGGTGTGCCCTAATTAATGGTCATTCTAGCCTTAGCTTAGAGTTACACCGAAGCTGCCTCCCAAACCTACAACCTTTGTGAAGGAATGTCAGCTTCACAAGTCACCGTTCTTTACACTGTGGATTAAAAAGGAGGCTTTATTTTTGGATCATTGCATTCACAGGCAATTCACTCCTGACATTATTTTGATGACTTGCAAATGGAAAACCTATTTAAAGAGGATTTGACCCGACGACCTGTGTCAAGGAACATGTCTTTTCAATATTGCCTTTAAAACTGCAAATGAATGATGGCTGGGAAAGTGGAAAAGGTGTCCAAATACGAAACTTTAAAGCTTTTGGAAAAGTGCCGGAAGGAAAGAGACGATGCTTTGCACCGCGAGAATATGATGAGGGAGAAAATGAGACACTATGAGTCTCGAATGAGATCAACCGAAGCGCTTAAACAGAAATTAAAGCAACTGACTTTGGACAACAAGGAGCTGCGGAAACAAGTGAAGGTCCTGCGGGCTGAAATTGGTTTAGAGGCCAGTCCTAAATTTTACGGGAAAACCACCAAGGATATAATCAACGACCTGCACGAGAAGGAGCGCGAGTGCAATTCACTTGTTGAAAAAGCGGGTAAATTAAGTTTGACGATTGATGAAATAACATCTGAACTGGCCAACACCGTGACCTCGAAGACTCTGCTGGAGGACCAGGTCCAGTCCCTGCAACAGAACCTGAAGGACATGACCAACAACCAGCGGCGTCTTCTGAAGCTCTGGGAGGACAAGAAGGCTCAGCGGGAGCAGCTGTCACTGCCCGCCATACCGCAGAGACCCGGGCAAAAGCCGCTGGTGCATAAAGGCGTCCAGACGGAGATGTCTATCAGTTCAAACCAGATATTACCCACTAACGCTTTTGAGCCCAAGACCCGCCGAGAGATTGATAAAAGCAGAACCAGTTTGGAAAGACGCAACATCACTTTAGCAAATGGCACTCATCGAGAGAAAAACGCTTTAATTCAGAATGAAGCGAAAGGAATACACAACTGATGATTATTATTTCACGAAACATTTTTGTGTCTGTCTACGCGTCATTATGCTGCTCAATGCCTCAACGTACAGCATTCTTTTTTAAATATATAATTTTTAGTATGTTTAAAATTATTAAGCAACAACCTGATTGAAACAACCGAAACATTGAGGACTATATGTTACTGTACCATAATTATTTCTTATGTATCGATCTATTTTTACAGTCTTTTTAGACTGCTGTTTGATGTAATGCCCTCAAAACATTGTGTATAATGAAATGCTGTTTAACATTAAATATAAATGTAATTTATTCATTTTATTCAGATTTTTCCTTTTTAATTAGGATAATGTTGTAATTAAGTGATACAATTAATTATTTAATATTTGTAATGTTGAATAATATGCTTCACAATAGTATTATCTTTTGAAAAGAACAGCTATAAATTTGCGCAGAATTCACATTTCTGGATGGGCTATCTCATTAATGGGATAGTTCACCAAAAATGTAAATTTAGTCAACATTTACTCATCATAAATTCTTTCCAAACCATTATGACCTTTCTGATAACGTTACTCTACAGAACACAGAACAAATTTCGAAGAATGTTGATAACCAAACCTTTTAACGTTACGTTTGACTTCCATTGTATGAACAAAAAAAACACACACATTTCTCAAAATATCTTCTTTTTATGTCCCACAGAATAAAGAAAGTCACATGAGGATGAGCAAATAATGGCGCATTTTTTAATTGTGGGGTGAGCAGCTATCCCTTTAAGTGTGATTGTATTCAGGCAGTAAGTCAGACACATTCGCTGGGGTCCTTATGAGGTCCTTCGAATGTGTGGCGCGGGTAATGTCCACACTTTTGCCATGTTGATATGGGTTTTACTCAAGTGATGCTGAACTGAAATAAGAATGATAAAATGTTTTCTCTGAAACAGAATTCTTGGTTTATAAGAAAGGTAAGGACTGGTTAAATATAAATCGTGTTTAAATAACTGAACGGCAACTAACTAATTAGGAAGTCAGTGTTTAGTCGGCAGTGTATGTAACGTTAAAAGACTTCTGGACATCATCATCATGTAAGTTACTGTTATAGTGACATGTTTTGTGTCTTCTGGTGTCTGTTTATGAAGTGATAGTGTATTTAAGTATATATTAATTGTTTGTGCGTTATTAGAATAAACGTTATTATCGTAGAAAGATTTTGTTTGAGGCTGAAAATATGTATGAAATGTGGCTGTGCTAGACCAGATTCTCATCTCATTTATTTTCAGGTTGTGATATGGAGGGCTGTGGCGAGTATTGCATGGTCAGTGCTTCTCTTGCCAGTGACAACTGCAGTCTTTGTGCTCTTGAGCAGATTCAGCCTTTTTCACCCCATCCAATGGATTTCAGGTGAGGAAACGAGTACGAGTGTCTAACAAAATGCATAATTACAATGCGTTACTGATACTGAGAAGTGCTCGAGTGTGAATTAATTATTTATATAAGCAGTAGTTCTGACTTCAAGGGACATAATACATATTCTAAACCCTCTAAAGCCTGATTAATGAAATGATAGTGAGAAATATTTTTTTGTAACAGGATATTGATTCCTTTATCAGGTTATTGATGTGTTTTATGTTTCGTATCATATTGGATTCATCTGGATTTTATGATCCATATAGTACAATGACATTCTTAGCTTGTAATGTAAGTCAAAGGTATTTGTAACAGTATAACAAGCTGCATGCTGATGGGAAAATAAGACATTTGCATTTGATGAGGCGTTAACATGAGACAGGACTTCCTGTACATAATCTGTTCTCCTCGAGAGACTGTTATTCTTCTGTAATTGCAGCTTCTCCTCTTGCCTTATTAGAGAGATTGTGGGTTTTCTGGATTTCTTCGTCTTATAGTCTGTGAAGGTAAAGCCTTCATTTTGGTATGTTTATGTTTGTAGGTGAGCAGCGAAACCTGGAGATAATCATCTACAACATGTTTGATGTTTTCTGATTTGAGGTTCAGACACATGTTACTGTTACAAAGTAGAGGACATGTGTATATACTGTGTAGCTGTGGTTTAAATATTTATGTGATAATTGAGCTTGAGATGGTTTTCAAAGGGTCACTCTCCTGTTTCTACCACTTTGGAACGTGTATATGTGCTTAAAATATTTTAACACTTTATAAAACTACAGGTCCAGCAGAAAAAGGGTATAATACGTTGAATTATATAATATAAGTTGAATTGCACATAAACAGAAACTGATTACATATTTGCATATTAATAAAGTTGAAAATCAAAGCTACAGTTTATTTAAATATTTTACAAATTTTCAGTTCTCTGTGGTGGCCATTGATTTCTTTTTTTTTTGCTATTATTTTTACTCTGTATATTTTTGTGAGATTTGTAACTAGATCTATGCCTTTTCTTTAAACAAGATAGTAGCCTAGAACATAAAATGCCTGAACAATTAACTGTATTCCAAGACGTCACATTGTAATAAATATTTAGCAGCTTTTTTCCCCTTTTAAAATTACATGCACACAAATACAGACCAAAATGTCTGTTTACCATTTATAATGTCTCAATTATTGATGATGATACTGATAACCGAGTGGTTTAGAAGCAGATCATAGAATTTCACTCTCAGCATCAAGATTCACAAACAAAGGTTATTGTCATAGATCAAATCTATCTTGTCTTTGATGCCAGTATCTGATACAGTGCAAAGTTTCGTATATCTCCGAGCACCATCAGCAGTGCACTTTTAGCCTTTATTCACCAGTCATTAGATTAATTAGATAAATTATTATAATTTTTTTTTAAGTTGGCACTGGCGTTATGAAATGGCTCAGCTACATTTTCCAAATTAACAAAATAGAAAATTTGTGTCACTTGAAACTGTGCCAATGTGTGGTGTGCCCTAATTAATGGTCATTCTAGCCTTAGCTTAGAGTTACACCGAAGCTGCCTCCCAAACCTACAACCTTTGTGAAGGAATGTCAGCTTCACAAGTCACCGTTCTTTACACTGTGGATTAAAAAGGAGGCTTTATTTTTGGATCATTGGATTCACAGGCAATTCACTCCTGACATTATTTTGATGACTTGCAAATGGAAAACCTATTTAAAGAGGATTTGACCCGACGACCTGTGTCAAGGAACATGTCTTTTCAATATTGCCTTTAAAACTGCAATATCGCATGCGATTAATCGTGCAGCCCTAATATATATATATATAGCTCTGTATTTTTTGTGGTGTGCAAAACATGCAATGCAATACAATAATGACTTAGAGATGTACAAATCAATTTTCCTCAAAAGCCTGATGTATCATATTTGATACTCACATTTAACATGTGTTTTTATTAAATGTGATGTATAAATAATCAAGTAAACCCAAGTTGATTCAATCCAGTAAATTTGTCTTGAAATATTGCCAACAATATAAAAGTTCTTATGTTCACTTTATATAAACCAGTAAATATTTCCCAGCAAAGAGATGTGTACCACAACCTGAAGGGGAACATTTTTAGATTTTACTTGCTTAAAAAAGTATAAACTATCATATTAATTTGGAAATTCACATCACATATAATCAGTGTTGGGGGTAATATATTACAAGTAACGCAAGTTACGTAATCAAATTACTTTTTTCAAGTAACTAGTAAAGTAACGCATTACTTTTTAATTTACAAAAGAATATATGAGTTACTTTTTCAAATAAGTAATGCAAGTT